CTTGAGCCCCCCAGGAGGGGGGGTGGTTCCGAGACCCAACGAGTTAGGTCAGGGAAATCGCACCTGGCAGTGAGGCAGTGGGACACGTACAGGGCTTGAGCCGAGGACGTATGTGCTGATAAGGGGAAGGAAGGCCTTCTGGGGCTGCAGCTGCAGGGTCCGAGTCAGGATGCGGTCTGTGAGTCAATCCTCCCGGAAGGAACGCTGAGGGAAGGGGCTGTACAGACCCGGCCCGGAGAGATAAGCTCCTTGGAACGCTGGAGGCAGGGACTGCACAGTCCAGCTCTGGCCATGAGAGGTGGAGGGGAAGGGCCCGCACAGTCCAGCCGGCTATCTTTCGGGAGAGCTGGGGGAGGCGGCTGCGTGGCCCGGACGGCCCAAACAGCACCCACCTTGTTTCTCAGGAGTTCGGGACTTCTGGTTCTTCCCCAGCTGGACACGTCCTGCCTTCTCTGGAAACGCAGGCCGTTGTCCCCGTGTTATCTCAGGCCCCTTCCTGAACTGCCGGCACCGATAGGGCTTCTTTGAACGCACGCCCTCCCTTGAGGCTTGTTGGCACTGTTGCCACTTGTGGCTAGTTGACACAGCTCTTTCTGATGTGCGTTGACCTGGGAAGGCACAGCCATTCCCGCCATCATGTCTCGATGGTCCCGTTCCCCCTCATCTGGTCATGCCGCCTCCCTTTGGACCCAGCTGTGGAGCCACGGCGGCACCGTAGTCCCACGTTCATTTGCTAATCACAAGGTCAGCAGTTCGAAACCACCCGCTGTTCCTCAGGAGAAAGGTGGGGCTTTCTACTCCTTTAGAGTCACAGTCTCTGAAACCCACGGGGGGAGGGGGGGTCGCAGTTCCTCCCTGTCCTGCAAGGTCACTGAATCAGCATTGACTCAACGGCAGTGAGTTTTTTCCTGGGTCCCCTGCCCTGTGCCTGTCTCTGAGAGCTAGTGCTGGTATCTGGTACTCTGCCCGCCCACCCCCATCTCCACTGCGGCCCTATCCTGCCCTGCCCTATCCCCCCTGCCCACACACACATACTCACCACCCTCCCTCCAACATCGCACATCACAGGCTCTGGCCACCTCAGCCCCACTTCACACCCACCGCGTCCCATCACCACCTCCATGGGTGCCCGAGGAGAGGGAGAGGGAGGACCCAGTCCGCTCGCCTCCACAGCTCCTGGCATCCCACCACGATGAACGGACTGAGCGAAGACCCAGCCACGGTGTTCGTGGGCTCCGGCTCTGGAGCGTGGGCAAGGTAGAGAGTTCTTGGTGGGATCCAAACAGGATGGCAGAGCCCTGCCCGCCACACATGACCTCCAGGGGAGCTCAACCTGCCCCCAAGCGCTGCTGCTGTCTGCCCTCTGCTCAGCTGGTGAGCCAAGCCCCAAGGATATGACCCCCCCCAATCTTAAACTTAGCCCACAAATCCCAGAGGGTCCCAGGTGTTTCTACCTATGAGGGGGAGTGCGTGGCACGGGAGGCACATTTCTCTCAACTCGGAAGACTCAGCTGTGGGGAACAGAAGGATTTCTCTCAAGCTGTCTCCCCCAAATCCAGACTTAGCTGCGTGAGAGTGACTGTACACTTGGAGATCATTCTCCCTGAGAGGTATCAGCTGTCTAGATCAAGCAGAGACCACTGTTTATCCCACAGCAAATAGGGCCCATTCCCTTCTGACATTGTTCCCTTGAAGGAGTGCCTGAAGGCAAGCCCGGGACCACTCTAGGATGACTAAGCTTAGGAGTCCAGGGTCCACCCATCTTGCCACACATGCCCCCCTATTCCCTCCTCTTACTATTGCACATTCACCCCTAGGGCATCCCCCTCCTATTGCTTGGATTGCTATGTTACAACCCCTCTCTATGACGTAGGTTGTTATCTGCTATCAGGGGGCTTGCATGCCTCCCAGGATAGTAATTGTTTTATTGTATGAGACACCAGAATGATCAAACCTGTTCAAGGATGAATTGTACTGCCCCTCTCTGTGACGCATGATGCTGTGATGTATCCCCCTAAAGTAATATGATGCGTGGTTAGCAATAAATAAGGAGCCTCCCTGTTTCTTGGGAGGGCGGCTCCTGTGGAGGGCAGGAGGAAGATGAGGAGGGCGGCTCCCGTGAGGGAGGCAGCTGCTTCTACTCTGGCGGCCGGCTTCCCCCCCATAAGGACCACCAAGCGGGGCGGAGGTGAGCAATGGTACCATGTAATATGTCTGACTGTATTATTGTATTATCTCTCATGCTCTCGATGACTTTACTATAATGCTTATATATCTCAACCCTACAATTGTGCTTACTGAACCCGTGGGCAGTAGTAGTAATAGCGGGTGGGGCTTTTTAATTTAATACTACACTCAGCCACAACTAGAAAGATTTAGGCCCATGTCCCAGAGGTGCTTAGTGCTTTGGGACCTGAGCTCTCCTACCTACCCTGGGCTCTTGACACCCAGCACACCCAGAGCCCAAGTTGAGGGGGGAAACGACAGGGTACATGTGTGGGGCTGCAGCTGTCGAATCGTTCGTGCTTAATGTTTTGCTTCTGGCTAACCATAAGCACACAGAAAGCAATCGTCCGTCTATCCATCACAGGCCCCTCCCCCGTGCATTCAGTAACCCCTGGAAGCCAGCAGCTGCCAGCTGGGCACTGGCCCTCCTGGGGAAATACAGCCAGGCTCCCCCCTCTGAAGTCCAAGCCCGGTGCTGGGCCATCCAGAGCTGGCTTTGTGCTGGGAGGCCAGTCGCAGCGCTGCCACTGGGGACCTTGATCTCTCAGCTTCTCTGAACACAGCTCTGACTCCTGTGCCTTCGTGGTTCTCCAGGTTCCCAGAGTCTACAGGAGCAGCCGGCCTCCCTCCGAGGGGATGGTGGCGGTGAGCTTAACAGGGACACTTGGCCGGCAGGGCCCCCAGGGCTTCTCCAGTCACTGAAGTGGCAGCGTGCCTTCCAGGACTGGCCAATGCAGAGGGCTGACCGAGCCCAGGGCCCAGCACTTTGTGAACAGACAAGAGTAGCTGTGAAAGTCTGCACACTCGGAGGGCAAGTGTGGGATCTCGCCGGCTCCCAAAAACAAAACCCATTTGAGGACAAGTTTAGCCTTTTTGACAAACAGGAACGCGCGCGCATACCGTACCGCAAGCTGAATGTGGTGTACACACACCTGTGCAGCCTGTCCCCAGATGAGACTCTGAAGGCTGCCTGCACACCCCTCCAGGGCGCACCCCTCTCTGTGGGCAGCCACTGTGCTGGCTCGGCCGCAGGAGGAGCGGGGGGCATAGTGGATGCATGGTGGGCGGCTGCCGGCCTGTCCAGCACGTTGAAACCCCTGGCCGAGTTGCAGGGAGAAAGCCGGGGTGTCCTCTAAAGAATGGCAGGTCTGCCTGTCCCATAGGGCCGCTAGGTGTCACAATCGAATGAGGGCAGGGAGGTCGGTTTGGTGCCGGATATAAAGGGCAGCCAGGGAGCTTTGGGACTCGGGGGCAATTCCCAGGACGTTTACATTCTATAGCCATCAGCTTTTTGATGCCTCCTCATATACTCCCGTTACACATTTAGCTCCACTCGGTGTCACATACAGCGGAATCCCCACGGCCCCTTTTGGTAGCGTGTACACTGGCAGGAGCCCGTCAAGCGGACAGTGTTCAGGTTAGGAGCGTACAAAGAGAAGGGGTCAGTCCCGCAGTGTTTCCCCCTTTGCTGGCCCTGCCTGCCCCTGTGATCTCAGCTTTGCTCTGGGGAAAGACCCAGGTGTACACAATTGTAGCCAATGAAGGCCAGTATCCTAGAAGGCAGCCCGGCGGGGACCACAGAGGGCAGGCTCCCCTAGGCCCCCTCACCCCTCTCCAGCGCAGCTGCCTCCCTGGCCCAGACTGTTCACAGCGCCACTCACCAACAGCCCCACGACCTGTGGGGTTAAGGGGGAGAGGGGACCCCACAAATCATCACAGGTCCGGTAGGCGCAATTGTACAGCAATAATAAGTAAGGGTTATAGTAAAGTCATAGAGAGCATGAGAGTTAGAGGAGAAATTGGAATAAATGGAGTCAGACACAATTCATGGTAGCATTGCTCACCTCAGCCCTGCTTGATGGTCCTCGTGGGGGGAACCCAGCCACAAGAACAGGAGCAGCCTCGGAACCCAAGAACTGGGCAGCCTCCCAGGCCCCCTGGAGCCGGAGAGGACCCCGGGAATCGGGGAGAGCTCCTGGGCCCCGGGAGCCGGAGAGAGCTTCCAGCCCCAGACCTGGGGAGAGCTTTTTCTTTATTGCTAACCAAGTATTATATCACTTTAGGGGGGCATGATTACAGAATCACACATCACAGGAAGGGGCAGTACAATAGGCATACACATTGTAGGAAGGGGATCTATGATAGGCATAAGCGTGACAGGAAGGGGATGAGCTAGGGGTGCGCCCATAGGAATGGGAAGGTCTAGGGGTACACATGTGACAAGATGGATGGACCCTAGACTCATGATGGCAGTCTAAGCTTGGTCATCCTTGGGTGGGTTTGACCTCTCTGGTGTCTCCTACAAGGAAACAGACAACTACTGTCCTTATCAGAAGGGAGTGGGCCCTACTTGTGGGATAAACAGTGGTGTCTGCTTGGTCTAGACAGCCGATAACTCTCAGGGAGAATGACCCCCAATCTACTCCTGATGACCCAAGTGTACAGTCATTCTCAAGCAGCTAAGTCTGGCATATATTTGGGGGAGACAGCTTGAGAGAAATCCTTCTGTTTCCCACGCAAAACCCACCCACCCACCCACCCTCCCTCCAGAATCCTCAGGGGCTCACTCTCCTCTTGGCCTGCCCTCACAATGACTCCCACTTCCTCTCCATCTTTTTCTGCTCAGAGCAAGACCCCCAGGCAGGGCACGAGCAGAACTCGGCAGGCTCAGGATCCATAATGGGGCAGTCAGACAGACAAGGCCACTGCTTTCAGGCCCCCACACCCCCCTCACAGAAGAGAGATACCCCAAACCGTTGGCACACAACCCGTTTATTCTGGGGGAGCCTCTGGGGCCTTGGAGAGAGGAGAGCAGGAACGATGATGGATTATAAGGACCTGATGGGAAAACCCCAGGAAATCCAGGGAAAGGAGCTGGGGGAGGGGAGCACCCAGAGGAGAGCTAAGGTTGGGGGTCAGGTGATTCAAGGGAGTTAGGGGGGATGGATGTGAAGAGTCCAAAATTGCCCTGGCGGAAGCCAGGGGGAAGGCGAGAGGGTGACCAGAATGGAGGCACAGTTCTACTGGCTGTAGATTGCTCTGCTGAGAGGATCATTGCAGAGATCCATGAAGCAGCAGCGAGAGTATATGGAGAAGCCAGACACTGCCGAGTTTCCGGTGTGCGAGCAGTCACTCTGGTGTTCCGGGCGACGGCAGTCACTCACCATGAAGTCAATGTTGCTGCTCTCTGGGGGAGAGAGCAGGCATGCCAATGACGGGGAGCCCACTGGGCAAGGCCCCAAATCCTACCCACCCCCTCACACCACACTGGAAAATCCTCACTGACAGAGGCCCCAAACGGACTCCCCTAGGATCCCCCCAAGGTAGGAAGTTAAAAAAAAACTCACTGCCATGTGGCCCATCCTGACTCCCCGGGAGAACTGCCGCTGTGGGTTTCCCAGGCTGTCCATCTTTACAGAAGCAGAAAGCCTCGGCTTCCTCCCCCAGAGAGGCTGGTGGTTTCAAACTGCTGACCCTGTGGTTAGCAGCCCAACGTAAAACCCACTACGCCACCAGGAGTGCTCAGTGAGTCTCCACGTTTCCTGTGGAAGTCTGGAAGGAAAGGGTGGGGGGGGTAAACCATTCCAGGAGAGGGGCCGAATCTGGGCCAAAGAGGAGCCAGTGTGGACAGAACGACTTGGAAGTCGTGTTGGAAACTGGGCTTGGGAGAGGGACCGTTTGTCACTTATTTCATAGGTCCGACCCCAAGCCCAGATGCACTGCCATTGCGCCAATTCCAACGCACAGTGACTCTGTAAGGTTTCCCGGGGTATACATCCTTAAGGGAGAATGATGGGGGGAGTGCGGAGTGGAGCCCCAAAGCCCATTAGCAGGCCACTGGAGATCCCCTGGCAGAGGGGTCTCGGGGAGGAGACGAGTCAGTCAGGGTGCGATGTAGCAACGATGAAAACTACAACTGTCCTCCGGTTCCTAAATGTTTCCTCCCCGCCCCCACTATCATGACATGAATTCTACCTTGCAAGTCTGGCTAGACCAGAGGAGGTACACTGGTACAGATAGGAACTGGAAAGCCAGGGCGGATGATCCCTACAGGACCAGTGGTGTGAGTGGCGATACTGGGAGGGTAGAGGGAGAGTGGGTTGGAAATTAGGAACCGGTTACAAGGAATTATATGTGACCTCCTCCCTGGGGGGCGGACAAGAAAAAAGTGGGTAAAGGGAGACGTCGGACAGGGCAAGATATGACAAAATAATAATTTATAAATTATCAAGGGCTCATGAGGGAGGGGAAAGCAGATGAGGGAGGGGAAAATGAGGACTTAATGCCGGGGGCTTAAGTGGAGAGGAAATGTTTTGAGAATGATGAGGGCAATGAATGTACAAATGCGCTTTACACAATTGATGTATGTATGGATTGTGATAAGAGTTGTCTGAGCCCCTAATAAAATGATTAGAAAAAAGAAAAAAAAATCCTTAAGGGAGTAAACAGCCTCATCTTTCCCCTACCAAGCGGCTGATGGGTTTGAACCTCCCACCTCTCCATTAGCTAACCCGACAGAGCTACCAGGCCTTCATTACAGGTCCCAAGTAGAAGGGTTATCTCTGTTTCTGGAAATACATCTTTTTCACTGCTGTGGAGCCTATTCTGACTCACGCCAAACCCGATAGGACAGGGCAGAAATGCCCCGTGGGTGTCTGAGACGCAAACTCTTTACGGGGCTAGAAAGCCTCCTCTTCCTCCTATGGATCAGCCTGTGGTGTTGAACTGTTGACCTTAAGGTTAGCCATCCAAAGCATAACCACAATGCCACCAGGGCTCCTAGAAATATACCCTCCGGGGAACGGGGAAAAAAATTCTTGTGCCAGTGTCCTAAGGAGTCAAGTCTAGGTTTATTTATTGCTACCTTTCTTGAGCCTCAGTGCCCACCAGAAGCAGGATGGATAAGCCAACTGTGACCGGCTTCAGCCCCGGAGCAGCCTGCAGCCAGCAGAAAGGCCGCTCACAAGCTCATGTTTAAAGGGCAAGTGCAGAGCCGTGCTTTTAAGAGCACGCTGCTCACGGAAGCAGCAGTCGAGAGGTCGAGCGATACATTCATTGCACAGGGCAAATCTGCCGAAGACCTCTTTGTAAAGTGTTGAAAAGCAAGGATGTTACTTTGAGAAGGAAGGTGTGCCCAACCGATGCCGTGGTATTTTCGGTCACCGAGATGCATGTGAAAGGTGGACACTGAATAAGGAAGACAGAAGAAACATCCACGCGTTTGAATGCGGATGCTGGCGGAGACGACTGAGAAGTACCATGGACCACCCAAAGAACACACGCCGCTGTCTTGTAAGAGGTGCGGCTGGAATGCTCATTAGAAGCCAGGAGGGTGACACTTTGCCTCACAGACTTTGAGCCTGTCTCAGGAGAGACCAGTCCCCGGAGGAGGACATCCTGCTTGGTCAAGTGGAGGGGCAGCGCAAAGGAGGAAGACCCGTGATGGGCTCAAACATCAGCGCCCCTGGGAGGACCACCCAGGAGCAGACAGTGTGTTGTTGGTGGGAGCCCCTGGGCGGCCTTGACCAACAAGCTGGCAAAGTGGCTGGGCAAGAGTCCAAACCATGGGAGGACACCGCCCTTGACAGCCTTGTTGCCACACGGACGTGGGAGCCATGTCTCCGCACCAGCTACTTAAAACGGTGCTGTGAAGGATCCGAACAGAAAAGCGCGCGCCCAGCTTGTGAAGAGCCCCGTCTCCGGGTTGTAAGTGTTCAGAACAGCGCCTGGCCCGGCGTCTGGTTATGGAAGAGGTTCGTTAGCTTAAAGAGAGGTGTTGGGGACCGGGGTGGGCATCAGCGGGAACGGGAACAAGAGGCGTGCAGTCAAGAAGAGGATTTGATGCGAGGAGAGAGATGTTGGGGCTGTTTGTCCCTGTCAGAAGGAAGCCGTGTGTGGCCGCTGGTTGAAGCCAAGGAAGCAGACACAAGTCCCCAAGGCCGAGGGGTGAAATGGGAAGAGAGCCGTAGTGACCAGGAACCAGTCGGAAGCAGGGAGGGAGGATAAGGCAAGACCCGGGGAAGAAAGCCAGGCGAAGGAGGGAGCTGGAGGAGGAGTGTGAGGCTCCCACGGACCGATGGGGGAGCAGACACCCGAGGCAAGGCCTCGGAGATGGACAGCTTGGCTTGAAGGTTCTCTTCCAGGCTCAGTCAGCCCCGAAAAGGCGTTGGAAGCTCAGTACCGGGGCCGAGCCAGGGATCGCCTGAGCGAAAGGAAGGGAAGGCACTGCTGGACGGCCCTCTTCCGGCTGTGGGGAGGAGACGGGGGTTCCGGAGGCCATTAGAGCTCATCTGGGGAAAGGGCCCGCCCCCCATCAAGAGAAGGCAGCTTACTGTTCTTGACGTGCACTGTGATGCAGCTGCTGCCCTGAGGGGCGGCACAGGTGTCGGGTCCCAGAAGGCACCCCAGCGCCTTGGTCTCCAAGAGGCACCGATAGCAGCGCAGGCGTCTGGGAAACTCCGGTAGCGGAGGGGCTCCTGGATTGCTGGCAGAAAACTTGCCTGGAACACAAGAGAGCACTGGATCTCCCCCCCACCCCCATCGCACCTCCCCAAGCCTGGACACACCCAATTCCAGGCTGGTCAACCCCACTATTTCTTCCTCACCTCCCTATCTCAGTGACACCACACAAATCCCCAATTCCTTAAAGCCTTATGTAAGTGAAGCCGTACTCCCCACTGAGACTCCTGGGGGGTGGGGGGTGGGCTTGGTCCTCAGAGAAAGGAGGATTTATTTCCTTTCTCACTGGCAGAGGCTGCAGGCACCGTGCCGGGAAGGCTCCAAAGCCTATCCTTCCAGTCCACATAGACTCACATCACTGGTCCACACCCTGTCCTGGGCCCAAAGCTGAAGAGATGCCTAAGGCATTCGTTCAATCACTGGATGTGTACTTGTACCTGAGGGGCCAACACGTGCTCAGCCCTCGGCAAGCCTCTGAGTTTAAAGCTTAGCCGAGGCAGCCCACCCCACCTTTGGGCAGACTGGTTGGCTTCTCAATCCCCCACCATCCTGGTCATTCGGATTTGAACATGCGTTTATCCTCTGTGATGCACAGAAGTGACTACTGGACCATATCCCAGAGCAGGAAGACCGCTTTCATGAGACAGGAGGCTTCCGGCAGCCCGGGGCCATGGTTCCTTGTCTGGGGGTAGTTTGCTGCATAAAACCCAATGGAGCCAATGCTGACTGTTCACGGGAGGAGAAAGCCCAGTCTTTCTCCTGCAGGGCTGCTGGTGCTTTGAACTGCCGACCATGGGGATTGTAGCCCAACTCCTAACCGCTACACCATCAGGGCTCCTGGATATTCACTGGATAGACTCACGGGAAACTACTTAAACCCTCATCCTCTACTTCCCCGCCCCGAGTTCACGGATTCCGCTGGGTCCAGCCCCGGGCCTCTGGAGCAGGCCCAGCAGAGCCCTTGGGGTGTGGGGCAGTGGCTGAACCAACACTCGGAATTCTGTTTCTGTGCGGATGGAGCTGCTCAGCCCGTTCAAGAGACGGTCATTCTGGATTCAGCCTCGGTGTACCTTGTGGATCCTGTTTCCATGACCTGGTCCTCACCCCTCCCTATTGTGTCTGCTCTCAAATATGAAGAGAACCCCTTAATACCTCCAAGCCACTGCTGTTGAGGGAGACAGTCAGTCCCCAGAAATCTCTCTCCCTCCGAGGGGCCATCCACCCATTCCAAATCCACATCTCCTCTCCTGCTTGGATTCACCCGAGTGTCCTGTGTAGATGCACCTAGTCACCTGCTATCTCGAGGTGTCCCCATCCAGCAGGCCAGGAGACCCCTCGGATCCCTCAGAGTCACTCACCAAACACCAAGGTCCTCATGACCAGCACTAACAAGAGCCCCATGAACAGGGCTAGGGAGGTGCTGCGGGGGTCCAGGAGCCAGAGACTCCTGCTTCCTGGAAGGCCGGCCATGGGATGCATGAATGCTCACCAACCCCCGACTTGGGCTTATATTGGTGGCAGAGTGCGTGCCCAAGGGGAAGGAAAGAGGCAGCAATAGGTTTGGGTGGCATCTGTGCCAGAAAAGTCAGAGGACAGGATGTCCTCGCCCACAGACAGTCTGGGGTGTAACGTCCTGGCACAGGGGCATGGGCCCAGCCAGCAGAGTGGGGGCTGCGCTCCAGGGCGGTTGATTGGTGGGTGGGGGGATTTCATGCCCATGAAACAGACATTTACCGACCTGCCCCAGGTGCTGGGCACACAACTGTGTTCCAAGTGTCTGCCCTCACCAGGGTATGCGGTCAAGCCAGACAGGTCAGCGGACAACAGAATGCCGCCCCGGGGGGCACCTTGGCGGTGGGGGAGGCACCTTGGCGGTGGGGGGGCTGCGCATGGCCTAACAGAACGAGGAAGGGCGGGCCCGGAAACCAGCGAGAAGGCGATTGCCGCCTTCGGACACACGATGGCGACCTGGTCCAGCAGGAGGGCGCGATGGGCGCGGCGCACCCGGGATGGAGCTGCGTTTCCAAAGAAGCAGAGGCCCGCCCAGTTCGCGCCGGAATGGGTGCGGGCCGCGGGGCGGCTGGCCGGCTTGCACAAGGCGGTGGTTGGTGGTGCCATTTTCCAGGTGGGCACAAAGCCCAGAGCCAGGAGGCCACCTGGGTCTCCTGTGAGCCGCCCCCTGCCCGGTGTCCCCTGGGCGACCCGGGAAAGCAGCGCCTCCCTTCTTCCACTCGCCCCGCTCCAGCTGCGGGTTAATGGGGCTGATCTCCGGTGCCCACGCGCTCCGGCACGCCTGGCTGCGCCTCGGGGAGCGGGGGCCGCTCTGCCCCGGCCCGGCCGCGGGCCAGCTGGCAGGAAGAGGTGGGCCAGGGTCGGGACCCCGCGCCCGGGCCGCCGACGCCCGCAGCTCCACGCCGTGGCTCCGCAAGGGGGCGCCGTGGCGCGACCGCCCGCCGACGCCCGCAGCTCCACGCCGTGCTCCGCAAGGGGGCGCCGTGGCGCGACCGCCCGCCGACGCCCGCAGCTCCACGCCGTGGCTCCGCAAGGGGGCGCTGCAGCTCGCCGGTCCGGGGCCCAGGTCGGTAGGCAGTGGGAGCCCTGATCATAAAGTGGCCTCGGCGCAGCAACTGGAAGGTCAGCGGTTCAAAGCCACCCAACCGCTGTGGTGGCGAAAGGGACTTGGATAGAGTCACAGTCTCGGGTACCTGAAGGCGTTCGCTGGCCGACCCTGGGGCTCGCCAGCCAGGGGCTTGGCTTTCTTTGCTGGAGGCAGTGAGAGTTCGTTTGCAGTGTCCAGGAAGGACACGAGCTGCTCCAGTTTCCCCGGAGGAGCTTCGGGGCGCGGACCTGCTAGCTAGGGCCCCAGGCTCCTCAAGAATCACCCAGTCCAGAAAGGGTTGGGGGGGAGGGGAAGGGGCGGTAATATGGGAAAAGACCCCCGCCAAAAAAGATGGGCAGGAGAAAAGGGAAAACTTGGAAAGCACGTGCCTTGAACTGATGCTTGGCTGGGGTCTTCCTGGAGGCAGATCGCCGCTGTGCCCCCTCCCCTCCCAATTCTGAAATACAGGAATCGATCATTGTATGAAAGGAAAGTCTGAAGGGGGAGTGGGAGGGGGGACTTGATAGCAAGGGCTCCAGTACAAAGTAAATGTTTAGAAAATGATGGTGGCTAAAAATTAAAATTAAAAAAAAAGCTCTGAGGCTGGGTCAGTGATACTAGGTGCGCAGGGGGGTGGCCTAGCCCGAAAACCACGCTTCCTGCCCTTTCAGCCCCCCACCCTTCCAGTTTCCTAGCTTCTTGGGCCAGCCTGGATGCCCAGGCCTCACCTGGTGCCCATTATAGTCCAGCCCAGAGTCCCAGCAGCTGTGGGGTGGGTGGGAAGCAGTTCACTGGGAGGGAGTGGTTTTTCCCTGGCTTTGAGCTTTTTCAAGTAGGGCGTGACCTGAGAGCCTTTGCGTGGGGCTGCTCAAGATACAAGTGTGGAGCCTTCCTACCTCACCTCCACCCACTTCAGGTAGCCAAGGGTCCCCTCTATGGTCCAGAGACCCTCCTGGCATCAATCGTACATGCAGGAAGGAGGGGTCAGCAAGTGGAGGGCAGGTCTGCAGAATCCTTCATGAGTGTGACCAGCGTCTGTGGTCTCCTAGGTGGCTCCTGGAGTGGGGGGTGCATATAGGTGGGGTTAGTGTCCCCTTAATTGCATTTAAGCTGAACAGAGACTGGGTTTCTCCAGGTGAGAAGTGCTTTGCTGCATCATGGAAGCACCTCTGGGAGGTGGGACAGTACCCACTCCATGCTGTGTGCTAATTGTGGAGCTTTCTGGAGCTGTGGCTACCTCCTCTTCCGGCCCCAAACTTCAGGCCATATCACCTGACAAGTCTCAGATCTCCACCCCCTGCCTTCCGGAGCTGCTCTCTACAGATCAGTCCTGCCTGCTCCCCACTATCCTCAGGGACCCCAAGGGATCTGCATGCACTGGGAGATCACAGCAACCAGCCAGAGAATGCATCTGACATGTTGGCTGATTGGCTGAATGAATGAATCTCCGGTGTCAGAACATTGTCACTTAAGTAGCTTGTTCAAAACAGAACCAGAGTGGCTAACCTGGGGGGTTTCTTCTGGAAGAGAGACCTTTCCAGGCAACAAACTGGTGGGATTAGAACAGGATGCGAGTTCCAGGGGGTCATTTCCTCAGTTCCCAGCGATGGAACTCTTAAGAGTGCTGCCCAAATTTAGGATGTGAAGTGTGGCTTTGGGAGGGTGAATCCTCCGCACCGCCCCCACCTTTGTTGAATTGCCAAAGATTTGAGGAGACTTGAGAACACTGGGAAGCTATGCTGGGCCTCCTGGGTAAGATGTGGGGCGCAGACTTGCTCTCGCTCTCTGATGGACTGAGCTGAGCAAGGAAAAAGGGGGTTCAGACGATGGGAACTGTGTAGGTGGGGCTTCAAAATCACTTAAGGAGTCAAGCAGTTGAGACCAGATACCAAGACGCTTTGCCAACAATCAAAGCCGGTAAGCAAGAGGAGGCAGCGCCCTGGGTGGGGGGTGCAGGATGGACTGAGGGCAGTGGCCAGGAAGGCTGCTGGGAAGGGGAGGAAGCCAGGCACATCTGGGACAGTTAGGTCATGGAGACTCCTCAGGTTAGAGGCTGAAGGCTTGGCGGTACAGCAGGGGTGAGGCAGGGGGCAGCGAGGGACTGGGGTATATACTAGGCCCCCTGGGAGTGGGGTGTTCCCACGACCCAGTCCTTTGTGGTTTCAGTCCCTGGCCCCCGGCCAGTCAGGAAGTCACACAGCCCACCAGCCAGTAGAAAAAATACCTTTTTATTATTTATGAATAATCCATTCACTTAATGCAGGGTTTGCTGAGGGTGAGGGTGGAAAGGGGAAACATGCACAAGGGAGAGGGAGAAGGGGGTGGTCCCCCACACTTTCAAAACTATCAACAGCAACATGAACGCAGAGGAACAAGTCAGAGGGTCCTTGCTCATGCCCCCCGGCCCGATCGATCCTCCAGCAGGAGTCCCAGCGTGCTCCCTAGAGGTGCCAGGGCATCTGGAAGTTCTGGGGCGGGAGTGGGGTGCAGTGTGTGGCCTCGAAGTTGTGCAGATGCTTCCGAGCCTGAGGACAAAGGGGGTGCGGGTGGCGGCATGGACACCCTGCCCAAGCCCTACCCTCTGGCCCACCAGCCACTCCTTGGAAAGGGCCCCTGGCAGCCTGGCTTGCTGCTTCCTGCCCCGAGCTCACCAGAAACAGAGCGAGCTGCCGCCGTCCCTCTGCACTCATGTCCTCTCCTGCAGAGAGGCGGGTCTCAGACACAGGGCAGCACGGGGCACCCAGCCAGGCCCTCCCTGCCCAGGGCCTCCTTACCCACGCTCCAAGGAAAGTCAGGCCCGTGTTCTGCCTGGTAGGAGCGGAGGACAGACAGACACCACTCCTCCTCTACCTCCAACCGGCTGTAGATGGAGGCTGGGCAGGGAGAGAGACGAAGGCCGGTCAGCAACCTGGCCTTGCTGGGTCCCCCCCAAAGGCCACGCAGACCCCAGCACCCTCACCTTCTTCTAGCTGCGAGGCAGCCTCCAGCCACTGCCTCACTACTCGCAGGCCCTCCTCGGACATCACGCGGGGGTACCTGGCAGGGAAGCCAGGGGCAGAGCCATGGGATTCCCTTCCCTCCTCATCCCTGCACCTTCCGCCCTGGCCCTGTGCTGGGCTCAGTGTGGGGCCATGGACACGGCCTCTCACCGGTGCTGCAGCAGCTTCAGCAGTAGGTCGTTGCCTCGGTTGGACATGATGTCCTCTGGAACCCTGGGGGTTGAGAGGAAGCCTGCTGCAGGGGTCTGGGGTGTGTGTGTAGGGTTTGCTGGTGGGCCGGGTTGGGAAGCAGGAGGGCAGAGGCTCCAGGCACTTACGTGGTGGTGATAATCTCGTCCTTGGTTCTGCGGATCAGCAGCACAGGGCCCTGGTACCTTCAGCAGGAGAACACAGATGTGGGGAGCGCTGAGGCGCCCGTGGGAGCTGGCCCGGCCCAGCCCCACCACTGACTGCGTTCTCCCCCTCGAATGCAAGGCCCACGCTAGCCCCTCCCTCAGCATTCCACATGATCTAGTCCTGCTGGATCATAAAGGGATCTAGGGGCCCGGGGGCCCAGGGAAGGTTTGCCCAGCTGGGGTGGTGGTGTGGGGACTCAGGGATGTGTGTGTGTGTGTCCCTGGTGGAGAGGGCTGTACTCACCGGCACAGCTGCTCTGCATTGTTCAGATTGAGGTGCTGCCTCACTGTCCGGGTCACCAGGCCCCCTAGTGGTGGGACAAAGGGAAAGGGATGGCAGAGAGACCCTGGCCCAACAGAAAGGTCCCGTGCGCATGGGGAGAGAAGGCTGGGGCACTTCAGGGGGCAGCCTCCCATTTAGAGCAGCCCCGCCCCACTGCAACCCCGTGGCAGGAGGGCACTCACTCCAGCTGTCCGGCATGACTTTCAAGGCCAAAGGCACCAGGTCATCAAAGGAGGCATCCAGGATCACGGCACTGATGTCTGGGTAGGACATGGCAGCCCATGTGGCTAGGACCAGGACAGGGAACAAAGTGATGGTCAGGGGGCCTCCCGCCACTGCCCTGCCTCTGTCCCACTGTCCTTTCCGCTAACGCCCTCCCTGCTACCGGGCATGCCCTGGCCTTTCCCACACCTCACTGGGCCAGCGCGCCACCTGGAGAGGTGCTCCTGGCGGTGCACTGACGACAACAGCGGGAAGCTCCTCCCTCCCCGCAGGACCCAGATGTGGCCTGAGAGTCAGGCCCAGGGTGGCCAGAAAGGTGAGGCAGAGACAAGGCTGACAGCCTCTCACTGCCAGGCCCACAAGGGGATCCCAGCCCCCACCCTGTCTTCCGTGGGCTCGGTCCCCTTTCCTGGGGGGCAGGAGGGTGGGCAGGGGAGGGAGGACGGTACCCGTGAAGCCACCAATAGACCAGGCATAGACGACAATGTCCTGGGGCTGGAAGCCCAGGCGGTGGATGGCAAACTGGACCACCACGTCCATGGCGTTGGCCTCATTCTGTGGGAACGGCACCCCCTATGGGAGGAAGGGCAAGGGCGGGAAAACGCCGGCTCCTATCACCGGTGTCCCCCAACAAGGCCTTGGACCTTCCTGCCGCCAGGTGTAGAAAGTAATGCTGGTGGGAAGGACGGTTCTCCCTGCAGACTGCCGTTCACGGTGGAACCCACCGCACCCTCCCAATACTGTCTCCCCAGGCCCCCGCCCTAGGAGCCAGGTCGTGGGCAGTGGGCGGGTCCACAGAAACACCCCCTCGCGCGTCTCTCTTGGGAGAGCAACGCAGGGATTCTCCGCAGAGCTAGGGCCGGGGTTCTAGAGAGGGGGCTCACCGTGCTGCCAGCAAAACCAGGATGGTTCCATCCCAGGACTGAATATCCAGCTAGAACACAAGAGGGGGGCTGAGGGCTCGGCTGACTGACGGCCCCTCCGCTGCACCCGGGCAAGGGCCCCGCTCCGAGCCTTCCTACAACGGGGCCTCACACCAAAGGCTCAGGAGGGGAGTGTGTGTGTGTACAGAATGAGTAATATTAAGGTTAGGGACACAGTCCCAGGGAGGAGATGGAATTTTCTCAAAGGTGAAGAACTCATACATCACGCGGAGAAAGTAGACCCAGGGAGGTCCTATCTGAGTGGGCCGTTAGGGAGGGGCAGCCTGTTCCCAGGGGCAAAGACAGCAAGGTGGAGCCGGAGCCTACCTTCCAGCGGTGTGGAGATGCAGCCCACCTCATAAAAGCCCGCGTTTCCCTCGCAGCAGATCACCTGCGGGAAGACGGATAGACGGACGGGCTGGGGAGGAGCCAAAGCAGGAGTGACAATCCCAGGGCAGGGAGGGCGGCCCGGGGAAGAGGAAGCAGGGCCTGGTTGGCCGCAAGGGAATGAGGCTCTTCTGCTCCACGCTGCCCAGGAAAACAGGAAGAAGCCAAGGGCACATGGAGTCCCACACACCTGGTCCCCGGGGAGGCGAGTGACTGACACCGCTGAACGATCCAGCCAGTGCGCCCCTTTCCCTGGGAAGTGGAGCTAACTCGCCGGGACAGGGCCGTGGCTTGGTCTCTCCTGTACAGGTCTGGGTCTGCGTTTTTCTGCCTCCATTTAGGCATGTCAGGCCTAAATGTGGTCTGTAGATCACCACCCTCACCAGCCTTCTGGACGATACACTCAAAGGCCCGGAGGGAGATGGGGGCCATGCAGATTCTCCCAGCAGTCAGGCGGAGCTGGTGCTGGCACCCAGCTCCCTGCACGCCGTGCTCTTTCCAGGGCTGCTTGGTGGGAGGCAGGTGGCTTTGGCACCAGACTACCCCCCGCTTCTGGCTGGGTGACCACAGTAAAGTTATCTGTGCTTGGGCCTCGCTGTCTGTCAAACAGGCCGATCTCAACAGTACCTCCTTCCCAGGATTGGCGTGAGACGGCCTAGCTGGGGTGATGCTGGCTGGTCGGCTCCCACCTCGTGGATTTCCCTGCCACGGGCTGTACTTACACCAAGAGGCCCTTGGGCGGAGCTGGGGGCTGGGGCTGTCTGCAGGGCTGCTGTGAATGTCTACGGGTCCTTGTTCCCACTCACCAGCTTCTGTCCCTGGGGCTCGGCTGTCCCCCGCCGGTCCACAAACATGGTGTCAATCTCAGTCCCGTCGCAGGCCAGCAGCTTTGCCCGGCGCCCGTTATACTGGGTGGGGAGACGCAATGGCAGGCTATGAAGGGCAGGAAGACCATGTCTGTTCCTGATGGGGCTGGGTACAGGGTGGAAGGGCTGGCAGGCAGGGGGGGGTGGGGGGGGTGAGGCGGTGGGGAGCAGGAGAGCCTCACCTCCTCTACCAGCCGGGCTTGACCCTGCAGGAGCATGGGCATGAGAGCCTTCTGGAGCAAGTACACAGAGCCCGGGTACAGCATGCGGCGCCCCAGCGTGTGTGCCACCAGGTAGCTAGATGAAACCAGAAGGGGGTGGTTAATGGCTCCCAGTCCCAGCAGGCCTGGGAATCTCCTGCAGGCCTCCCAGCTCTGGTACTCAGAGTCTGGGGTCTCTGCCCTCTTGACCCTCAAACCTCTGGATTTCTCTTTCAGGGCTTGGTGAACAACACAGGTATCAGGCTGGCGCATCTCCCTCTAGTTTTTTGGCTGCCACTTTTGTAAGACACGAGGTAAGTACTGGCCTGCTCACTGCGAGGCTGGCACTTCAAACCCACCAGCAGCTCCGCAGGAGACAGCTGTGGCTCTGTGCCCATCCACAGGCCCAGCCGCAGACACCCCACACAGACAGAGTGGCTCTGTGCCCATCCACAGGCCCAGCCGCAGACACCCCACACAGACAGAGTGGCTCTGTGCCAGAATCGATTCGAGTTGACAGCAGTGGGCTCAGCTTGGGTTTTTTATAAGATACAAGGTTTATAGTGTGGCCCAGAACATACATAAGTATACATACTTCTGAAATGATACTTTTTTTATTAATCATTTTATTGGGGGCTCTTACCGATCTTATAACAATTCAGTTGTATCATGCACACTTGTACATATGTTGTATAGCACCCTTTCTACATATAAGATACTAACTATCTCCATGTAGGCAGACAGATCATACCAGACCTCAGCACGTCGGGCAAGTCAACAGGCGGGACCAGGCCCTGGAAAAGGACATCATGGGTGGTGGAGGGTCAGTGAAGAGGAGACAGGGTCACTGAGACAGAGTGACACCATGCTCACAACAAAAGGCTCACGATCGTGAGGATGGGCAGACCCGTGTCCTGTGGTCCGCAGGGCCACCCTGAGAAGCTGACTCATGGCAGCGAAGGCTCACAGTATCAAGAACTCCGCCTGGGAGGTGCAGCCATGAAAGCATGTGGCTGCTTCCCCAAGGGGTGGTGCAAACCCAGCTGCTCGGCGGGAGAAAGGTGTGGCAGCTGGCGTCCACGAAGACTCGTGTTTTGGACACCCTAAGGGGCAGTTCTCGCCTGGTTACTGTGATTAGAACCCAGCCTGGCTGCAGCAGGCGTGGACAGAATAACTCAGACCACCCCACTGCCAGCAAGGCAGTCCCGGCTCACAGCAGCCCTCCTCGGGGTGCCGAAGCTTTAAGTCTTTCTCCCTGGGAGTGGCTGGTGGGCTTGAATGGATCACCTTGTAGTAAGCAGTCCAACGCTTACTTGACAGGACCCCTAGGGCCCCGTGTGAAATATATATATATATGAAATACATATTTATGAAATACCCATGCTTATGGGTAAAGAGAAAGTTATCAGATGCAATGCTGTGGTTCCCGGCCCATGCATCGGGGTAGAAATGTACTCTACAGGGCCCTTGCTGGCTGGGTTTTCAGAAGTAGGCTGCCAGGCCTTTCTTCTGAGGTACCCGTACGTAGACTCCAATACCAACCTTTCTGTTAGCAACCAAGTGTGCTAACTGCCATCCAGGGTGTCTCTGTTAATGTACAAACACAACTTAATGGAAGTTAAATGGGCTTTTAAAAAAAGGTTGCAATTTCCTTACAATACCAAACTGGACTGCAAACCCCCCTGGGGCAGGGGCGAGGCTGTTTCAGTCCCTGAGACCCCATCTCTGCCGTGAAGCAGGTTCCCAGAGCTCGGTGCTGTTGGCACTCAGTGAATATTTACTGAGTGAGCATACTAATCCGACAGTTGACAAATGGTAGGCACTATTCTGAGAAAATGATGACCCGCTTTCCATTAATTCTGAGGCAGGCTCTGTCCCAGAACAAACTGTATAATCCTAGGCAGCACCCCCTCAAAATCTCAAGTTTGGCTCACCCCTCTGATCAACTACGTCAACCTCCTTCCTGCTAGAAGCTACCGCCAAACCCCTAGCAACAGGCAGTGCCTGGTACGTGCTTGTTACGAACTGAACGGTGTCAGTCTCAACTAATGCCTGTAGCTAAGGAGCCCTGTTGCCATCGTGCTTACATGTGGGGCTGCTAACTGCAAGGTCAGCAGTTTGAAACCACCCGCTGCTCTGCAGGCGAAAGACTAGGCTTTCTACTCCCCGGGCGCAGCTCTACCCTGCCCTATGGGCATCGATGGTGTGGCGGGAAGTGAGCGAAGGCAGGATGGTGCCTGCGGCTGAAAGGCGCCTGGCGGTGCAGGGGGAAGAGCTTGCTGCAGCTGCAAGGGCTCGGCTGGAGGAAGGCTCTTCAGTGCCCAGCGGTGACGATGCGCAGCCTTGGAGACCCTCAGCCGGCCCTGTGAGGCAACGTGGGCGGTGACCGCCCACGGGGGCTGGCGCTTTATGTCTGCCTGTGGCAACGGATGACCCCATTTGGGAGAAGCTTGTCTTTATTATGCTCATGAGACAGGCAGGATCAGCATGAGTCTAGGGCAGTGGCTCCCTACCTTCCTAATGCCACGACCCTTTAACACAGTTCCTCATGGTGTGGGGACCCCCCAACCATAAAATCATTTTCGTTGCTACTTCATCACTGTCATTTTGCAACTGTTAAGAATCGGGCGACCCCTGGGAAAGGGTCATTCGACCCCCAGGTTGAGAACCACTGGTCTAGGGTGTTGGGTGTACCTGGAGACATCAGGGACTAAAGTAAGGTGACCAGATGTCCCGCTTTTGGCGGGACAGTCCTGATTTTTAGTAATTTTTCCTACGTCCCGTGGCATTTTAAAAAGTCCCAATTTTTGGAAAGAATGCATGACAAGCTAGGGTATATGGTTTTCGGCTGCCATGTGGCTATTTCACCAGGATATGAGTTCTATCAATGGTGTCCCGCTTTTGTCCCGCTTTACCGATGTTACAATCTGGTCACCTGAGACTAAAGGGTAAGCAGAGACTGCCAAGGCCCATGAAGATGGCTCCCAGGCCAGCGCCCTTCCACAGCGCTCCCCCAGAGAGCCTGCCCCTCGGGTGGGCACTCTGCATTCAGACTTGACTTCCGCTTGGAGGAGCCACTCCCGGTGGGTGGCATCAGACAGTGCCCAGCGTAAGGCCTAAGTGGTGACTGGGGTTTCTCCTGCCCCATCAGTTCCCCAGCGGCGGTGGACCTGGGCTCTCCCAAAATGCGCTCAGGCGCCCGGGCAGGGCGGGGCCCTTCAGAATATGTGATGCCACTTAACCCCTCAGCAACCCAGGGAGGCAGGCTATTCAGGGAGGCCAAACCGAGTCACAGGGGATGAGCAGCTCACCCAGGGAGGATGGCCAGGGAGCAGCAGGGCCCGCAGGGCAGACCCTGCCCCAGGTGCACACTGTGTGTGCCCACCCCTGCCCTCAGCTTGGTCTGAAAGAGCATCTGTCAGAGAGGACGGTTCCAGCCCAGCTCTGGACCCTCCAGCGGTGTGATTTTGGACCCCTCCACACCGCCTTCGGCACACAAACACGTGGAGAAAAACTGCTTGCCCACAAATTACAGGGAAAAGACGCAGCCCTGGGCCAGTCAAGGGCTTTTTTACTGCCCAGTCCCTGGAGCCTTCGTCACCGAGTCCCCTCCACCCCAGCAGGCCTCTCGCCCGCCCTACCCACCTGGTGATCTGACAAGGTAGCTTCTTGACTTGGTTGAGGAGGGTGTCAGCTGCCCCCCGGTGCAGGGGCTCTGGGCGGAGCAGGGCCACCCCCCGGCGGGAAGGGCCCCCTCGGGACTCCTTCCTGAGGAAGGGAGAGATGGGGGTGAGGGTGAGGGCGGGGTCATGAGCAGCAATCTGGCCCTCTGAGTGCGGAGGACCGGGGGTCTCGGAATGAGGAGATGGTGCTGGAGGGCAGGCCTGGCAGCCAGAGGAGGGTGGAGGTGGGGACAAAGGAGGGACGAGGCGGGCTGTCCTGAGGGGAGGGGCAGAGAGCCAAGGCACAAGGGACGGGACCTACCGGCTGCTGGCCTCTTCCCAGTGGAAGTCCACGGGCCAGCTTCTGAAGTCAAAGTTGTAGTTGGCCAGCTGCCTCTGTAGGGGAGGAGGAGAGTGGAGGTGAGCAAAGGAAGCCCGAGAATTGGGGGAGGGACAACCCCCTTGTCACCCAAGGGCCCGGCCCCACACTTCACGGAGAGACCAGGCTGGGGTCAACGCCCTTCTTGGGCTCACACGGGAGGCTCTGTGGCGGCCCCCAAAGCCAGGCAGGAGAGAAGGACTTTCTGGGTCTCGGGAGGGACTTGTGGGCGCTCCTGCAGCTCAGGAAAATGAACAAATGCTCTTGGCTTTTCCAAAGAGCTGGCTGACCCACCTGGGAGGGGTGCCTGCAGTGGGGGAGGGTCTGCAGGCTGGGCACACTCTCATGCCCGCCTGGGTCCTTGACCTAGAGCTGCCTGCAGGTTCAGAGACCCCCAGGATCCAGTCACTGTGCCAAGGCAGGTGGGGGAGAGGAGACAGGGCAGCCACAAAGACAGTGGGCGCCCTCACACCGGACTCCTGTCCTGGGGGCGGCCTCCCTCGGCGCCCCCCCCAGCCCCCCTGCAGCACTGGTGAGCGCCCTCTCCCGCCGCCAAGCTGCCAGCGCAGAGGGTGATGGCTGTTTTGGGCTTTTTCTTTTTTTTTTTATTTCTGCCCAAGAACTTTTCTCCCCAACAGTTTCAAAAACAACTCGACTAACAGCAGTAAAAAAAAGGTACAAACATGACAAAACCAAGCGCAGTGAAGCAGGGCACACACTTGCACAGGCTCTGGGGCCAGGACCTGCCCCAGTCCCGGCCGCTCCTGGCTCCGCGACTCTGAACGGGGCACTGGACCTCCGCTTGCCTGTGAGTCCTCCCCAGAGGGAGAATGGAGCCAACGAAATGCCGCAGAGCCCCCGGGACCCACCTCTGTAAGGATGGCAGGCAGCAACTAGTTCACTCAGCCAAGAGGACCCTACAAGTTTGAATAGCACAGGGTTTTAAATGGGGCCCCCAAGTCCCTTTCCAAACCTAATCACACTCCAGCGCCAGCTGGGCTGGCACAGCTCCAAGGACACTGTGCCCTGGCTTCTCGCCCTCCCGGCGCCACACTGTTCACCCTGGGCACGGAATGGGCACATCTGTTCCTCTTGTCCTGCCTGAACAAAGCCAGCACGGTGCCCAACGTGCACACCAAAAGCCAGCAACCCTTTGCAGAACCGAGCCGCTGGGGCCTGAAAAGAACCACTCCACATATACACGATCCTTGCAGACGGGAGGGTGGAGGAGTCGAGAACTGTTCTGGCAGAAAATTTCATTAGAAGGGGGTGGGGGCGGGCCGGAGAACTCTGCTCCACAGGCGGACGGTTCCCTGCTGGTGGGGGAGGCGTGCCCACATATGCCCTGGCTGGTGGATGGCCAAGCACAGCTCCCCGGGGCAGGAGCTGGCACTCAGTGCCTCACAGAGGTCCCCGAGGGAGCTGCTGCCAACGCACCTGTTCGGCTCCTTTCCTCGCCTCTCACCTTGTTTTCGGAGGACTGGTCCCTGTGTGTCGCTTCCAAGATCGTGATGAACTGCCGGTACTGGGGGTTGGTCCAGCGGCCAATGCCTGGTGGGGAGACAGGACAGAGAAGTCAGGTCCAGGTTTTAGGAGAAGACCCTGAGTGGGGGGAGGGGGGAGCAGAAGAGAAAGAAAGTAACAACAAAGGCACTGGGGGCCCAGACGCTAGAGAAATAGATCTTGCTCCGCATCTTGCAAGTGGCCCTGGGGATTCCTCCTCGCCCCCGCGTGCTGTGTGCCGCTTTGTAGACCCGCGGTTCTCCACCTGGGCCTCAGACCATCGGAAAACACATTACGATTCATAACAGCAGCAAAAGGACAGTGATGAAGGTGCAACGAAAATAATGTTAGAAAAAAATTTAAAAACAACACAAATAAATAAATAAAAATCATGTTATGGTTGGGGGTCACCACACACGAGGAACCGTGTTGAAGGGTCTCAGCAGCAGGAAGGTCGAGAACCACTACTGTAGACGATCGATCGGCTTTCCACCGCGTCCTAGAATCTTGCTCACATCCGAGTCCCCTTCTTGTTCCCTCACGCCCGGAAATGTGCCCATAGAGCTTCTCTCTGGCCCCAGAAGGATCCCCCAGCACTGCTGCCCACTCCCCGAATCCAGTTCCCCTTCCTGGGTGCTTGTCACCTATTGCCACTCCACACGCTTCCCGGCCCAGGAAAGTCCCTCCTCCTGGGCTTCCTGGGCCCACATGGGATTCCTGGATGCCTCCCGGCCTGTCTCTTTCTATTTCCCTCTCCAAGGGGCGGCGCTTTCCTCCCTTCCTTGGCACCCTCAGCGGCTAGTCTACTTCCTCTTCATTGCTCCGCTCGATCCAGTCACTGTTTCGTGCACACACGGGAGGCATCTCGGGAAAGGCCAGCCAGGCCCCAGGCCCTCCCAGAGCTGGCACTGTGCTTGGGGGTGGGGGCTAAAGACTGTAGTTATCCATCCTCCGACCACTCATCAGAGTGGTCTCCAGTGGAGGAGTACGACAATACACAAATAAAGATGGCAGCTTCAGAGAGCAGTGCTCGGAAAAACAGCACCACTCAAAACCCACCGCAGGGTCAAGTCCATGCAGACTCGGAGAGACTGGCCTGCAGGGCAGGGTCCTGGGGGCTTCTGAGACTGGAACTCTGCATGGGAGCAGAAAAGCGAGGGGCGGGGGGCAGCCCCAATCCCAACTACGTGGACAGCACCCCCTCCCCGCACAAGAATTCACTTCTGAGGACAGACTGAAGCTGCAGCTCCGGGAGAGGGACATGTCTGATCAGAGCACACGGGAGCACATGAAGGGGGAGGAAGAGTGGAGCACATCCTGGCCACCTAGGACGATATTCCGAGGACGATATTCCCGCTCAGAGCAGCCAAAGCACAGACAAGACCATAGGGCCGGTCTCACTATGAGACACGATGTCCCTCACTGACCCATTGCGCTACGGGGGACAACACTGGAGACACGGTGCGAGAACTAAGCCTGAACTGACCCCACCACACCGAGGCAAAACACTGAGGGTGTGGAACAGAACAGCAAGGGGAACAGAGCAACGAAGTCCCCAGGGAATACCAAAAATAGATTTTGGGGCCAGGGCTTGGCACCCCACCATCAGACTCGACCTGAAAACACTCCTAAAGGTCAACTAACAGACCTTGAACTATTCACAGGCTTTTCCTTTTGTTGTGTTTCTTTGTTGTTCTTGTTTTGTTTTCTTTTGTTGCGTTGTTTTGCTGTCTTGTTCTTTGCGCATATTATTATCTCTGCAGATCTATCTAGATAAGATGGATGAACAATCTAGAAAACAACACACTGCAGCTCAGGGGGGACATGGGAGAGGGGGAGGTGGGAGAAAGGTAGTGGGTGTTTACAAGCCCAGGGACAAGAGAACAACAAAGGATCCAAAATTGATGGCAAGAAGGGTGTAGGAGGCCTGGTAGGGCTTGATCAAGGGCAAGGTAACCGAGAGGAATTACTGAAACCCAAATGAAGGCTGAACATGAAAGCGGGACAAGAGGAAATAAAAGGAAATAGAGGAAGGAACTAGGAGGCAAAGGGCATACAGATCTAAATACAGGCATGTACACATGTAAATGTGTTTATACATGAAGATGGGGAAATAGAACTATGTGCCTATATTTAGTATTAAGGTGGCAGATGGACGTTGTCCCTCCACTCAAGTGCTCCCTCAATGCAAGAACACTTTGTTCTATTAAACTGGCATTCCATGATGCCACCTCCCCAACACGATTGCTAAAGACAAAGTGGGTGCATAAGCAAATGTGGTGAAGAAAGCTGATGGTGCCTGGCTATCAAAAGATATAGCATCTGGGGTTTTAAAGGCTTGAAGATAAACAAGCCACCATCTAGCTGAGAAGCAACAAAGCCCACATGGAAGAAGCACACCAGCCCATGTGATCACAAGGTGTCGAAAGTATCAGGTATCAGGCATCAAGAACAAAAAAATCATATCACTGTGAATGCGGGGGAATGCAGAGCAGGGACCCAAATCCCATCTGTAGGCAACTGGACATCCCCTTACAGAAGGGTCTCGGGGAGGAGACGAGCAGGTCGGGTTGCAGTATAGCATTGATGAAACATACATCTTTCCTCTAGTTCTTGAATGCTTCCTCCCCCAACTACCATGATCCCAATTCTACCTTACAAATCTGGCTAGACCAGAGGAGGTACACAGGTACAGATCCGAGCTGGAAACACAGGGAATTCAGGACCGATAAACCCCCCAGGATCAATAATGAGAGTAGAGATACCAGGAAGGTATGGGTAAGGTGAGGAAGGGGATCACAATGATCTACATATAACGCCCTCCCTGCAGGACAGACAACAGAAAAGTGGGTAAAGGGAGACATCAGACAGTGTAAGACACGAAAAAATAACAATAATTTATAATTATCAAGGGTTTGTAAAGGGAGGGATGGTGGGGGAAGGAGAAAAAAATGAGGAGCTGATACCAAGGGCTCAAGTAGAAAGAAAATGTTTTGAAAACAGTAACAACAAATGTACAAATGTGCTTGACACAATGGATGGATAGATGGATTGTGAGAAGAGTTGTATGAGCCCCCAATAAAATGATTTTAAAATAAATAAATAAAATACCAAAAAGAAAGAAAAGCCTCTTCTTTCTTCCTCAGAGTAGCTGGTGGTTTTGAACTACTGACTTTCTGGTTGGCAGCCCGATGTGTAAGCACTATGCCACCAGGGCTCCTTCAAGAAGTGCCCCCAGAAAATGAAAGTAGAACCTATCATCGCCTGCAAACCTCCGAACAAAGCAGGCAGCGGGAACGAAGCAGGCTGCTGCCTGCTTTGCCTGGACCGACACTATTTAGGCCGCACAGAGGTGGACCGCGCGGGACGCTGCATTTCATTGGTTCCGAGAGGCACACACGGAAACCTTGAGATCAGGTCGTGGGTGTCACGGTTCACGAGGGCTCCCCGTTTATGAAATGAGGTGTGGGGTACGTGAAAGGATAAGCGTTTCATGTGAGCAAATGTTGGAGACGCAGTTGCTTCTGGAGAAGGGGACTGATATCTACCGTATTAGCCAAGCCAACATCTGAGGCAAGTATCATTAAACGCTCGTGGTTCTGTTCTTTTTGATCGTTTCTTCTCCACTTTTCTGTAGCAACTTTTTTGCCCCTACATAGAAAATACAGGAACTAAGAAATGTGGATGCAGCTGAGCGGCGGGAGCTACTCTCCAGTGGGGCGCTCAGGAAAGCCCCTTTGAGAAGGGAGCCCCCACCTCGTGGAGGTGTGGGTGGGGCAGACACCCCAGCGATCTTACCCTAGACTGGCCCCAACTGCAGTCACCCAATACCCCCTCTCCTCTAAGCATCGCCCTCCCCTGCGTGTTACTTTGCACAGCTGCCAGGAACCAAGGCTTCGCTTCTTAAATTTTAATTGTGAAACACAGCATCCACACGTAAAACACACAGTTGACTTGAGACATACAAAACGTGCCCGTCACTACCACCCATGTCAGTAGAGAGATCACAGCCCCTCCCCTAGGAGTGCCGGCACCATTCTGCACGCCGCCTTCTCTTTCTCCTCCAAACGAATTCCGTGACCTTGGGGATAACCGTGCCCTTGTTTGTCTCTAGTGTTTTGCCACTTACATACGGGTCCACTTAGAACTTTACATCAACAAAAAGTACCACCCGCATGATTGGGGGCCCAACCTTTTGCACTCAGCATGCTGGTAGATTCGTCCGTGTGCCCGGGGCAGCTATGGTTGCACTGCTGTCCGTCTCGGGAGCGGCTGCCCACACGATGCCCGTATCCACCCGGTGGCACGTGGCCATCAGAGGGGCCCCCAGTTTGGGATCATACATTATCATCTGTGCTGTGGGCTCACCCACTGCATTACTGACACGTCTGTCAGTCTCTCCAGGGTGTATCTAGGAGTGGGGTCACTGGGTGGTGGGGTCGTATACACCTTTTCAAGATAAACTTTTTGGCCATTTCTTATATTTAGACTAAAGCTTTACATATATTCATATAGGTATACATATACATATATAGTAAGCCTTGGAGTGTTCTCCAGTGTTCCCCCCTAGGACTTAGAACCAAACTGTTCTTTCAGGGGAAAAACAAAACAAAACTGACTGCCGCTGAGTGGATGCCGACTCATACCGACCCTCTAAGACAGGGTAGAACTGCCCTGTTTGTTTCTGAGACGGTAAGTCTTGACCCGAGTAGAAAGCCTCATCTTTTCCCCTCAGAGCAGCTGATGGTTTCAAACTGCTGACCTTGCAGTTAGCACCCAAAGTGCTACTGACTACACCACTGTGGGAAGCTGAGGAATGGGAAGAGAGTGTGTGCAAACGAATTCTTTATTCTCAGATTGAAGAAGCTTGGGAGGCCAGGGTTCTGAGTGGAGGGAGGCCTTCGCACTTGTGAGTTGAGTCCCCACCGCATTCTCATAATGGATATTCATCCCCACTATATCCTCCCAGAATAGTGCTCCCTTAAAGTTACCTCTTACAAACGCACAGCTTTATCTAGAGGAGCAGGCATGTGCTACGGCTCTCCCTGCTCAGGGGACAGCCACTCCCCTTTACCTGCCCCCAGCACTGAAGTTAGGTTACTCCCCTAGTGAACCCAGGGACCTCTAGGTTAGGGTACAGCCCACTCTGTGTATGTGGTTACCAGGCTTGCATGCCCTGAGATGATATAAATTGATGTTAAGAATACATTTTCTCCCTCTCCTGCCCAGACCTGGTTCCTGATGCCAGGGAGGAGGTGAGCACCCCAAAACTTCTGTCTGTCTCTTAATTTCTTCCCTTCAATTACACAGCTGTCCCTTAGGACCCATCCGGATTTGAGGCTGGATCCCACACACCACCGGGGCTACCAGGACTTGCTGAAGGCACCTAATAACTATTTACCAAGGGGGGCCAGATCCAAACCAGGCTCCCTCCACCTACCTCGGAGACAGGCCACACCTGCCAACAACAGAACCAAGGTCCCGGCGTAGTGAGAGAAGGGCACCACTTTGGACAAACTCAAGTAACCTGTGGAGGGAAGCGGGATCACAATCAGCTGCTCCCTGCCCCCCACTGCCCCTCAGCACCTCTTCCCAGATTGGCCCCAACCTCCTCCCCAGACCCTCTCTTTAGGACAGCCACACCCTCAGAGGAAGACGATGCTCGATGCTCGTGGGAAGAGGAAAGCTCAGCCCTCCTCACAGGCCCCTCTCCCAGCTCAGCTCCCCATAACCGACCCACTTCTGCCCACCACCTTGGAAACCACACTGACCTTTCCTGTACAAGTAGAAGAAGGCGAAGGGAGAGGAGTAATACGAGATGGACCAGAAGACTGATGCCTGCAGTAGAGAAATGGGGCAGTCACACACACACACACACACACACACACACACACACACACACACACACACACAACCATCCCC